ATTGCACAAATGTTCCTTATGGTTGCTAAGGTAATGATTTCACTATGATTTGAGGATAAATGTGATTATGATTTGTGTTTTACGTTGAATGTGCATGTTGATTTCCAAACTTGACAAATGCATACTTTTTAACTAAAATGTCCTTTTTATCATATTTCAAGGATTTTGTGCATGCTTCCATACTTACTACTTTATATGCTAACCCATTTCTTCTACATTTACTATGAGTGTAGGTTCCAATTGTTGAGACGTACTATTTCCTTCAAGTGAAGCTTGGGTTGACTATTCCCTAGGCTTGGTGAGTCCTCAAGTTCGAGGACAAGATGTTATTGTTTCTAGTTTCTATTGTACTTTCTATATTCAAGACTATTGATGTAAAGGGCAATGTCCCTAAGATTGTATTCCTATGTTTTAGATGGTGATTGAGACAAGTCTAGATTCTTATTTTCGTTTATGAAAAAGAAGTTTGACTTCAATAGTAAAAGTTTTAAATTTTTCCGCATCATTCTTATGGCTTTATGTGTATGATTATGCTAAGGTCTTGTATGCGACCCCTTCGGAGTCAAGTACGTTGTGTTACGTCTAGGGGGTACCCCTGAGTCCTGACAAACTTATATTTATCTATTTTTAATGTAGATAAATCAATTTTGATTGTCATTAATGATTTTATAAATAATTATAATTTAAAATTTATTTACAATATAAATAGATAATCTATAAAATATATCTTTATCATCAAAATATGTGTATAAGGTTATCACATTATAAATTCCATTAAAATTAGTAACATTTTGTTTTCTATTCATTTGTTTCATTAGAACAACATTAAATTATACACAATCAATATTTTTCCTTTTGGACAGTACAATCAAAAAGTAAAAAACTACTAAGGTCGACAGAGACAACGATTCCTCTTATGACTGATTTACCTACACAAAATTGCATCTTTCTGCCATGCGACCTAGATCAATGTCCATTTCATTTCTATGACGTCTAGTATTGTTGGCTCCCGAAGTTCTAAGATATTGAGTACTTGTAATTAAATTCTTTAAGTGTTGTTGAACAAACTCAGGGGTTTTGATAAGAGCGTATCAGTTCTTGCTGACTCATTGAATTGCAACAAGGATTTCACAGGCAATCTCAGAAAAATCTCCCTTGCTAAATCTTCAAGAAAATTATCGGTGCACCATAGTAGTTCAATCAAGATAAAACCCCAAATTATTAAATTAAATAAAAAAAATGTGCTTTTATAGTTTTTGATGGGTTCAACCCTAGTACTGTTAAATAGTACTTAAAACGAATGCAAAAAATATTGATTAATGAAACCTTAAAATTACCTATTATAACAGTAACATGCGTAGATGTTATCAAAATTGAAAAAGCAAAGATAAGAAACAAACATTTGTATCGAATATTGATGGCCCTGAACTAAAGCTACAGTGTTCGACGACTATACACTTTGATTGGTGCAAGAGATGCACACAACACTAGATTTATGTATCATTTATTATCGAGGGTAACATGATTGTTGCGAATGATATAGATACATGTTTTGAGTTATTTACACTTGCAACAATAATTTTCCCTATTTATATTACTTTTGCAACACTTTCTTGTTGCTAGATTTTCAATAGAACTCCTAATTGACAACTTAATTCTACAAAGCGCTCATCATCAAAATTGCAACACTCAAACCATCATAAATAGATTAAAGGACACAAATTCATTTAAGTTAATCAAAGTGTTTAAAAAGATTATATAAGTCATATCTTTAATTTGCAGCAAGCATCAAACTCACAGATCATAAGACCCAATGACGGAAAACAAAACAAGTAGGCTGGATAAGAAAATGTGTTATATATCATCTGCTCAAGTAATTTTACACACTTAATAAGATCAATTACAAACATGTAATGCAAACAATAGAACTTAGAAGTTGAGTGAACATGTTTATGAGCTCAATGGACGATAAATGCACCAACTCTCAATCATCTCATTGTGTAAGATTTTACTAAGCTCTCTTTATAATAAAATACCCCACAACCACCACATTTTGCACCTATTCCCAAGCTTGAATGTTGAAATCCAAAATGCCTCGTTTTCTTAGTCCGGACATTATAAGAGACCAGATGAGAAACTTTACCTGCAAAAATGAGAGAGCTAGCATAACACGACTTAATCAGTCTGATGCATTCAAAGGTAAAAACTTTGTTCCAAACACCTGGTTGGATCATTACCCATATATCATAATTAAGCATATACATCAGTTATAGTTCACGATAGAAATGGAATCATCCATCAACATCAAACCCAACACAGAAGTATAAACAAAGTTACAATCTGGCCCTTCAATCTCTTCAAACATCTCACTCCCAAAGTCAAATAAAAGAATGGTGCAATCACAATGGTGGCCCCCTTAAGCAGTACTTAATGAGTTTCTCACATTTGTATAGAAGGGGAGTGATTCTTTAGGTTTTAAAATTCTCCATGAGTCCCTAGAATAGGAATAGACTGCTGATGCATATTCATGCCAAAATGTTACCTCTATCAGATGTTTCGTGGGTAGTAGCACACTACACACTATTTTTAACCACACCCTAGCAACTTGATTGAAATTAGCAAAATGGAGGGTATTATGCCTCCCAGTATCCTTGCTACGCTCCCACCTAGTCGTGGACTCTACCCCACATAAAGTATGTCGGATATCCCTATAAGGAGGTTTATCCTTCAATGTATTAAAGTCATCAGAATCACAATTTGGGGTCCTCGAAAATTCATTTAGTATCGTAGCATTGAACTTCACATCCTTACCTCTAATAGGAACAGTTTTATACTCAGTTTCAGTGAGCTAATTTGCATAAAACTCACAAACTAAAGACAAATTACAATCTCCCAGATGATCAAAAATAAATCTCAACCCCAACTCAAGCACAGTTCGATAAATAACACGAAATTGAGACTGCAACCTTATCTCATGGACGTACTCGTCACTCATATAGTTCGGTTCGTGCTGACACTCAAACCATTCCCAACCATACCGCTCCACCGCCTTTTTCCCAAATTTTCGAACCCGGATGCTTCACCCTTCCTACTCCGCTTAGAACCAGCCACATTCTTTGCTTTTGGAGCCATTGTAACCTGTTAAGAAGAGAAAATGGAGAAAAGAAAAAAACTTAGAAAAATAGGGGGGTCGTTCGAGTAGTGGGTGAAAAGAAGAAGGAGAAAAATGGAGAATAGTAGAGTTGGAGTAAAAAGGAAGTGGGTGAAGTGGAGGTTTTTGTTTTTATAGGTGGAGGAGGGAAGAAAGAGAAATGGTTTTGGGAGATGGGAAAGGTTTTCATGGAGGAATTGGGAGTTTAATAGTGGAAGGAGAAGAGTTAGGGAAGAAGAATGGAGAAAAGTTGAAGAAATTTAAGGGTTAGGTCGGTTGAGTTTAGGAGAATGGGGGATGAATGTTAGTGTTAGGGAGTTATAGAAGGGTGGGTCGGGTTATCCGGGTGGAAACTCGGATTTTTTTTTCAAAATCTGGGAAGGGGCATGATAGGGATGCGATGCACCATGGCCGCACCTGAAATAGGCCCCAGAATGTTTGTCTTTGGCGCGGCGCACCAGCTAGTGCGCTGGCTTCAGTGATTTGTTTTTTTTTTTTTTTTTTCACTATTACAAGCTAAGTTACAAATAATGAAAAAATTTATTTAGCTAAAACTAAGAACTAAAAGAACTTCCTGGATTCTACGAATTTAAACTATGTTAAAACAATAAAAATCAAAATTTCAAACACGAACTACCTATCTATTACATATTGTTCACAGGTTGCCTCTCGTGTAGCGCTTGATTTAACATCGTGGCACGACACAGCTTGGATCATTCATCATTTAGCTCAAGAGCCTCCCGATCATAATCCGAATCTACACCAAAGTAGTGTTTCACCCTTTGCCCATTTACTAAGAACATAGGGACAGTCTCATCTTTAAGTTCAACAGCACCATGTTGTGTCATTCTTACCACTTTGAAAGGACCAATCTATTTAGATTTGAGTTTTCCGGGGAATAACCTCAATCTAGAGTTAAAGAGTAGTACATTTTCTCCCGAAGTGAATGTACGAGTAACTATGTGCTTGTCATGCCATCTTTTTGTATTTTCTTTGTAAAGTTTGGCATTCTCATACGCATAGAGCCTAAACTCCTCAAGTTCATGCAATTGATCTACTCTCTTTCTACCGGCCAGCTCGGGGTCCAAGTTCAACCTCTTAATTGCCCAATAAGCTTGGTGTTCCAATTTCACCGGAAGATGACGTGCTTTACCGAACATTATGTGATAGGGAGAAGTCCTTATGGGTGTCTTATAAGCAGTCCTATATGCCCACAACGCATCATCTAACTTCTCAAACTAATCTTTCCTCTGTGCATTCACGGTTTTCTGCAAAATTTGCTTCACCTCTCTATTCGAAACCTCTATTTGGCCACTCGTTTAAGGATGGTAAGTTGTAGAAACTTTATGACGAATACCATACTTAGCAAGAAGGTTTTTAACTAGATGATTAATGAAATTATTACCTCCATAACTTAGGATTGCTCTTGGAGTGCCAAAGCGAGTGAAGATGTGCTTCTTGATGAACTTTATCACCACTTTTGAATCATTCGAAGGAAGAGCTATAGCCTCAACCTATTTACTCACATAATCTACAGCCACAAGAATGTATTGGTTTCCACTAGATGGCGGGAAGGGGCCCATGAAATCAATACCCCACATATCAAAGATTTCCACCTCCAAAATGTTACTTAGCAGCATCTCATGTCTTCTTAAGATAGTACCCAACCTTTGGCATTTATCACAACCCTTCACTAAAGTAATAGAATCTTTAAATAATGAGGGCCGAAAGAAACCAAATTGAAGTACCTTATACGTCGTGCACTCTCCTCCGTGGTGACCTCCATATCGGCTAGCATGACAACTTTCGAGCACTTTTTGAACCTCATACTCCGGAATGAATCTTCTCACTACCCTTGTTTGAACAAGAACGGTTCATCCCAGATGTAGAACTTAGCATCATAATTGAGCTTTTTCTTTTGTTGGGTGGTTGCACCCGGAGGATATTCTCCACTTCCTATCAAATTCACAATGTCTACATACCATGGCACTAGAGAGATATCTAATGCCATCAATTGTTTAACTGGAAATTCTTCCCAGATTTTCTCACCTACATTCACATGGGAAAAATCCTCCAACCTAGACAAGTGTTCCGCTATCTGATTTTCAGTACATTTCCAATCTTTGATCTAAAGGTCAAATTCTTGGAGAAGTAATATCCATCGAATCAGCCTTGGTTTAGCATCCTTCTTGTTGAATAGGTACCTAATAGTTGCATGGTCTGGTAAAAACAATCACTTTAGTACCTACCAAATACGATCTGAACTTGTCGAAAGCGAACACTAGAGCCAGCATCTCATTCTCAGTCACTGTGTAATTAACTTGTGTAGAGTCAAGGGTCTTGCTTGCATAATAGATCGAGTGGAACACTTTATTCTTTCGTTGTCCGAACATTACGCCCACTGCTACGTCACTTGCATCACACATGAGTTCAAATGGTAATTCCCAATCAAGAGCAATTAAGATGGGAGCTTCAATTTCGTTCCTCTTCAACATCTCAAAAGCTTTCAAGCACATCTCATTAAAGTCAAACTTCACCTCTTTCTTTAAAAGACTGCACATAGGTCTTGCAATCTTGGAAAAATCCTTGATGAATCACTGGTAAAAACCTGCATGACCAAGAAAACTACGCACCCCTTTTACAAAAATGGGGGGGTAATTTCTCAATAACTTCTCTTTGGCCTTATCAACCTCTAAACTAGACTTCGAGACCTTGTGGCCCAACAATATCCCTTCTCTAACCAAAAAATGACATTTTTTCCAATCGAGAACTAACTTAGTGTTCTCACATCTAGCAAGTACGTTATCAAGATTCCGGAGACATACCTCAAAATACTTCCCAAAAACTGAGGTCTTCCACCATATCATGAAAAATGGCCATCATACACCTTTGAAAAGTCACTGATGTATTGCAAAGTCTGAATGGCATGCGTTTGAAAGCATATGTACCATAAGGACAAGTGAACGTGGTCTTTTCCTGATCCTCAGGTGCAATCAAGATCTGGTTGTAACCGGAATACCCATCTAAGAAATAATAGTACTTCTGCCCTGCTAGTCGGTCAAGCATTTGATCAATGAAAGGAACGGGGTAGTGATATTTCTGGGTAGCATCATTTAGTTTCCGGTAATCCATACAAATTCTCCAGCCGGTCACTGTTCTAGTAGGAATCAACTCATTCTTTTTGTTCCTCACCACAGTCATACCTCCCTTATTGGGAAGACATTGCACCAGACTTACCCATTAACTATTAGAGATCGGGTAAACAATTCTAGCATCTAGCCACTTTGTTACTTCCTTTCTCACCACTTCTTTCATCAAAAGATTTAGTCAACGTTGATGTTGTGCACTTGGTTTGTGATCCTCTTCCATGTAGATTTTGTGCATACATAATGCCAGACTAATTCCATGAATATCAGCCATCTGCCATCCAATCGCCTTCTTTCTCCTCTTTAGGATCCTCAATACCGCATCGACCTGTCTTTCAGACAACTCTGTTGAAAGTATAACAAGCAAAGTTTCATTAGTACCCAAAAATGCATACCTTAGGTGAGCAGGCAGAGTTTTTAACTCCAGTTTGGGAGCTTTTTCAATTGAAGGCTTTGGTGGAGGTCCTAACTCACGATCTAATGACTCGACTCTCTGTTTGTGAGTCTTCACAAGTGCCAAATTTAGACCTGTTTCTATATTTTGGTCTTCAGTATCTCCATCTACTTCATGATATGTTAAGACTCTCTCTAAGGGATCTTCAGGCACAACTACTTGTGATTCTACCATTTGATCAACCACAGTAATAGCAGACAACTCTTCATAGATAGAAGGCAATTTTAAAGTGCGTTAAACATCGAATACCTCAACCTTATCATGCGCCCTCATAGTTAGTTGACCAGCAGCTACAACAATCAATGCCCTACCCGTGGCCAAGAACGGACGTCCCAAAATGAATGGAACTTCAAAATCAGGTTCAAAATCTAAAACCACAAAATCTACAGGAAAAATCAATGAACCTACTTGAACTAACACATCTTCTACCACCCCATCAGGCCTAGCAATGGATCTATCAGCGAGTTGGAGAATAACAGTGGTCCTTTTTGGACTACCCAACCCAAGCTTTAGATACAATGATAAGGGCATCATATTTATACTCGCTCCTAAATCACACAATCCGCGGGTATGAACACTTTGCCCAATTGTAATTTGCACAGTAAAACTACCCGGATCTTTTAACTTTTTTGGCAGTCTGTTTTGGATCCTAGAGTTGCACTCCTCAGTAAGTGCTACAGTTTCATACTCCGTGAGCCTCCTCTTGCTAGCCACAATGTCTTTCACGTATTTAGCATACTTCGGGATACCCTATAAAATGTTAACCAAAGGCAGATTAATGTGAACCTGTCTAAGGAGAGAGAGAAACTTACCGAAGCATTCATCTTCATTCTGGTTTTTGAGCCTTTGTGGAAATAGAGGTGGTAATTTCTTTTGAGGAACGGGTACCTCAACATTGGAGCTTTTTACTACCTCTTTCACTTTCTTTTCTTTGGTACTTGCCTTAGTCTCTCTCTTTTTTGGAGCTAGTTCCTCTAATTGTAACCCACTTCTAGTACTTACCACATGCAATTGCTTTTGGTTCGGTTCAGTATCACCGGGCAGCCCACCTTGGGGACGCAAGTTCAGAGAATTAGCTACTTGCGCAACTTGTTTCTCTAAACTCATTTGGAACATTTGGGTGTTTATGATGTTCTCATCCTGCTTATCTATTCTAGCATTTATTTTGGTCCTTATTTCAGTCATGAGCTTTTGGAGTAGCTCTTCATTGGTCATCCCCTTTTTTGGGTGCACTAGGATTTGCGCCTTGGTTAGGATTTTAGTATTGTTGCCCAGTCCCTTGAGAACGGTATTGGTTAGCCCCTTGCGCCTGATTTTGGTTTTGGTTCCCACCCCATGAGAAGTTAGGATGGTTCCTCCAACTAGGGTTGTAAGTGTTACCATAATTTTGCTAAACTCCACCCCTTTGCGCATTACGCACATAGTTTACAGAATCCGGATTTTCCTCACATTGCTCAGTTTCATGAGTTCCACTACCACATACCCCACACCAATTTGATGTCTGTTGTACCATGTTAACTGGTGCCTAGTTTAGAGCCATCTGTTTAAAATGTAAGGTCATGTTATGTTGCATTGCATCCAACTTGGCATTTATGGCAGTAGCTTGATCTACACCTAAGATCCCCGCAGCCTTTGGGTTGTGGTTCTAGGTATTTACCCCTCATACCCTTGGTTCCCTTCGAAGATTTTATCGAGTAAGTCGAACAACTCTTCACATGTTTTAGCTAGGGCATGTCCACCTTGTAACACCCCGTATTCAAAATAGACAAAAAAATGCAGATTTTGAGAAGTTGCAGGTGCAACTTACGGTCACCATCCACGGACCGTAGGTCAGACCACGGCCCGTGCTGGTGGACAGTGGTTCACCACTGCAACCCCTCCCCAGCCAGCTCAGAAAAAATTGGCTAAGTCTCGACCCACGGTCCGTAGATCAGACCACGGTCCGTGGTCTGTGTCCGTGGATCAAGACCTCCTTTACCCAGCCTCTGACACGAACTACGGTTGACCAGCACGGACCGTTGTTAGATCCACGGTCCGTAGGTCTGACCGTAGATCGAAGGATAGCAGCCAGTTAGCTGAAAATTCTTATGGGTTAACTTCAGATGGTCATAACTTTTAGCACAAAATGAATTATGTGTCCCATGACCTATGGTTAGATAGATAATTGAATTATCTTTCCAACTCCACCGAGTTTGCTAAATTCCAACCTCCGAGTAAAACGTTATGCTCATTTTAGTGAAGGCCTGTCGAGCAGGCTTGACTTACGGACGCAATCTACGGACCGTAGATTGACCTACGGCCCGTAGGTCCATCCCGTAGATCACTCCGACAGCAGTTAATTCAGGGGTCTTTTGGTCTTTTCCTATTTCGTTTAACCCCTAAGATACGTCGTTTAGACCCTAAATCATGAGGTTTTAATTAGTTTAAGCCTAGAAACATAACTAGAACTTACCTAAGTCAAATCATTAATCAAGACTTAGAAAATTAGAAGCAAGAAGGGAGAAAAAGGTCAAGAACCCTAGTTCAAGAACGCAGCAAGGTTTCTTCAGTTCCAGCCCCGAAATCGAAAGATTTCTCCATGGAATTCGTCACCAGGTATGTGGGATTTCACTAGTGGGTTCCTTTCGCCCATTAGGTCCCTAGAATTCAGTCAGATTCTTGATTCCATGATTATGAATAGACCTAGGGTTTCTAGAATTTGAACAGATCATCATGAATTAGTTATTTAAATGTTCCAAATCAGATTATCATGTTATTGCTCAGTTTATCGCATGAATTTCAGAACCCTAGCTATGTATTTCTTTAATTCTTGAATTACACATGCTAGGTTAGATATTTCAGTATTCAGTTTTACATGCCTCAGTTTATGAATGCATCATTATCAGATTAATTGTTGCATTCTCAGTTTGCATGTTCAGTTCGAGCTATCCAGTATTTACAGAAATTCAGTCATAACCAGTTAACTACTTAATTCATTGGGAGTAGCATAATACCGAGTTGGACTAGGGTTTCAGCGTACCCATATAGTCCCAGAACTACGAGCCACATAGGTGTAAGTCCCCTCTGTGGGCAACATCAGTTTAGTGATCACGCCAGCATGCCTCTATACCTCTGGCAGGGTATATTGGGTCCTCTCGATGGGGCGTATACATCGGACTCCACATTTAGCTCATGTGGTTTTATGTCGGTTATTAGTAGCTCCCACAGTTCAGTCAGATTCTATTGCATTGACCATTTATCAGTATATTCAGTATTCAGTCTCAGCATGTTATAAATTGGTCATTGCATTCAGTTAGCTCAGTATTCAGTATCTATATCATGTTCAGATTATTTCATTGCTTTATTGCTTTGTTCAGTTATATGTTCTTTCAGCTTTACTCTATCCTGCATGCTCAGTACCTTTCAAGTACTGACGCATACGTGCGCTACATCTTCTCGTGATGTAGGTTCAGGTTCTCAGCATCCAGATCACGCTTAGATCGATTCCCGATCTTCAGTTCAGTAGAATCAGTTGGTGAGTCCTCATTCTCCGAGGACAATAGTCATGAGTTTCTTTTCAGTATTTTTAGTCTTTAGTTTCAGTTTTGCTAGATCTAGTTGGGGAATGTCCCAACATTTCTAGTCAGTTTAGAGGCTTATTTCAGACATAGCTAGATTCAGCTTAGTGTTTTGAGTTTGATATTTCTTTTGTATTAAACTCTCAGATTTCATATATTCAGTCACAGTATATGGGTATTCCCCATCTTTTCAGATTTATTTATGAATTAGCTTCCGCATCAGTTTATTTTCTTTAGTATGCTCATGATCATGCCAGCAGGGTTAGCTTGGGATCACTTGTGGTCCTAGGTCCCGTGTCCGCGTCTCGGGGGTAGCTCGGGGCGTGACACACCTGCTGCACTATTAAAAAGTGAACGAG